CAGGATTGATTCCATGTCCCCCCGAACCTCTGCTGGCATGCATCAGACAGATATGCATTTCATTTGCAGTCCTGGCTATGGCCCAGAGGCCTTTGGGGAAGGCAGGTTGGGTTTTTTGGGGACAGAATTAGTAAATGCTGTGCTCTCCGGTTGTAATTCCTGCAGGGTTAAATCTTCCAAGCGCTGTGTGGTAACAGGAGACCTGTGTTGCTGCTTTTCATCTGAGTAGATGGAGAATTGATGCTCCCCCTCCCTTCAAAGAGCTGTAATGTGGCACCCTGCGGCAATGGGAGCTCTTCCAAGGGTGAAGGGGGAGATATCCCTTATGGGGCACCAGGGGAGGGGTTGAGGAGGGCACAGAGGGGACCTGGGTGCTCGGGGTAGCACATGTGAGGGGTGACCCCCTGCTCCTTCCTGCACCGGGAGTTTCCATGATGCTGATGCTCTCACTGCAGCATCATCACTTTGCTCTGACCCCATAGGGATGTTTCCTTCATTATCCTTCAGGGGAGAGAAACTGCCTCCAGGGAGCTGATGGTGGATGGAAGACACACAAAGACCAGTCTGTTTTGTGTGGACAGTGGGGAAATCCCAGCTCCCACTGGTGCCAGAGCTTTTCCCATGGGATCCCAGGTCTTGCCAGGATGGAGGGGGGCAGATGGGGTCTCTTTGGGATGGCTATTGCTGGGTAGGACATACTTGGCAGTTCCTGTCCCCAAACCCCACCTCGCCACCAAAGATCTCCCTTCCTGGCATTGATTCTGCAGCTTTTCCGGCACCCCGAGCTCTGAGCAGCCTCTCTGCAGACGGAGGTTGCGGCTTTCTGTGCTCCCACCGCTGCCAGGTGAGATGCTGAGAACAACTCGAGGATGCAGAAAGCATCACAGCGCGCTTCCGCTGCTGCGGCACCCAGCTTGTGGTGGTTCAGCACCCGGGTGGGTGACACAGCCCTGCGGGGTGACACGTGTCCCTCGGGTGTTGCTGCCCATGGGGGACACGAGGAGCCGCGGCTCTCACATAGGGCAGCATTGCTGGGGCTGAATGTGTTCAGCATCCAGATGCCTTCTGGGTTTAAAACCTGCTTTTTCAGCAGCACTGAACCTGGCCGTGCACTTTCTGACCTGTTTCACCAATGTGCTGCTGATCCCCATCCATCCCTGTGCGTGGCAGAACCCGCATCCTTGCTTTCACCTTCCCAAGGAATAACCCGCCGTTGTGGGATGCTCTGGATCCCCAGGGAGACAATGGCAGCCCCCTGAACTTCCCGCGGCCGCCCCCTTGACCTCCCCGCAGGCGAGGCCACTCTCCTCGGCTGTCCCTGGCCATCCCTGCCTGGGCACGCTGGAGGAAGCCATCCATTCTTTTATGTGCGAAGGCACGCCGGGCGGAAACGCTTGGAAACAGCTTGGAAAGGACATTCCAAGTCTGGCAGGAAAGCGGCCCCGCTTGTCTGGCAGGAGATGGGCTATTGTCTGTCCCGGTGGCCGGCCGGGATTCCTCAGGCCGTGCTTGGAAGAAGAAAACGTCTCTGTGTGTCTTATTTTTCCCTCTGCCCTCCCTGTCTCGGGGGTGCCGGGGGCTGTGAGCGCTGCACGTGGATGGGGTGTGCTCGGTGGTGGTGTCGCGCTGCCCCGGCTCATCGGCACTGCTGTGTTTGTTCATGTGCTGGGTCCCCTGTGGGTTTGTGCCCTGCGTGTCTGTGGGTTCATTACCTAGGCCATGGTGGCGGGATGCAGCCGTGGGATGGGTGGGTTTGTTTTGGGATAACTGGGTACCACACTGGGATGCTGAAAGGAAGAGTCTGCTGTAACGCAAACCGATGTATGTATGTATGTATGTATGCACCTATCTATCATCTATCTATCTATCTATCTATCTATCTATCTATCTATCTACCTATCTACCCACCTACCTACCTACTTACCTATCTATCTATCTATCTTTCTATGTATCTATTGATAGATTTCTGCTGGGATTGGGGAAAAAGAAGAAGGAAAAAGCTCTGAGAACCTCCTCTCTGCCCTGGTCAACCTGATGCGCAGGTTGGGGCTCCCCCAGCCACCAACCCCATGTCCCCTTCTGTGGAAGCCCTTTGCTATTCCTTGGGGTGGGATCGACCCAGGGTGGGAGTGCTGGGGTATGGGGCAGGGTGTGGGACCATTCCTGCACTCTGGGGCTGGTGGAGGTGGCCGTGCTGATGCCCCACACTCTTCCTCATGCTGTGGCAGTGCAGGAGGCTCGGTGTGTTTGTGGCTTTCTGGCCTCCTGTGCTACATGATATCTTTGCAAAGAGCTTGGGTTTCATGAAACCTCTGTTCTTGTTTTATCCCTGCCTAAGCCACGGGCAGACACAGGCAGATGCCCTCCTCTGCAGAGCCAGTGCCTGCATGATCCATTGGGAAGAGGCTCTGGGTACCGGAGGGGTCTCGGCATCACATTGATGCCGGGCAGGGTGAGGGTTTGCTGGCATCTTGCCCCCCATTCCCTGGCCTTTTGAGCCATTCTGCAGCAGCACAGATGGGCAGATAGGATCTGCTGGCAGGCAGGAAGGGTGGCACAGCCACCCGGAGAATGGCAGGACGTGCCGTTGGCGGGTACGCATGCAGAAAGGAAAGCTGCCACCATCCCAAAAAATCCCAGCCCTTGGACTTGCTGCGATGGGGTTTGGAGGCTCAGGGAGCCCGCACAGCATGGGCGCTTTAGGGTTTCAGTGCCTGTGGGGTTGAGTCCCTGTTGTGCCCCCCAAAAGCAGCCCCATAGGTCCCTGGTCCCTCACCATGGACTCGTGGCTCCCAGTGGGTCTGGTTTGGTCATCGGGCTGGCATCCCAACACCATTCCCTGCCTTCCCCTTCGCCCTGCAGTAAATGGGAAACATTAAAGGCATAGATCTGTTATGCTCCCGGTGCCAAGGCAATTGTTCCATCCCTATTGTGTGCCACAGGCAGCCCCTGAGCTCAGCACCTGAGCCCCAGCACCAGCCCTGTAACAAGATAATGGAGCCGGACCCGGTTTCTCCTTTTTCTTCCCCTTTTTTGTTTGGCAGAGCGTGTGATAAAGCCACAATGAGGCCCCTTTCAAAGAGCCTATTAAAGTACCAGCCCCGTTTTAAGAGTAAACTTCCAGTGGCACCGGGAGGTTCTGGACAATAGGAATGTGACCTGCGGAGGAGTGGGATGATGCTTTTGTGCCTGTCAAACCGAAGGCACTGGAGGCATCACTCTGTGCTGCAGCACAGAACAGGCACACGGGCAGCATCCCATTGCAGGGCAGACCTGAAGGATGCAATGAGAAGGGTGTTTTTTGCCCTTAAAACCCAAAAAGGCTGGAAGGAGGAAGCAGCTATGCACCCACGCCCGCAGGTCCTGAGGTAGGAAAGCAGCCAGGGCACGGTGCTACAGGCACCATGCACCCCTGCCTCAGTTTCCCCACCTGTAGCACAGATCATGGGCTCTGGGACAGGGCACATCCCACCTCCACGTGGTGCTGGAGCCAGCAGAGCCACGGGCACAGCTTCCTCCTTGGCTGAGGCAGGTGATGGGGCTTGGCACACGGGCAGCATCCCATTGCAGGGCAGACCTGAAGGATGCAATGAGAAGGGTGTTTTTTGCCCTTAAAACCCAAAAAGGCTGTAAGGAGGAAGCAGCTACGCA